GAGGGCAATAAAGTGAGACTCTGTCTCTACCAACAACAACAACAAAAAATCTTCCCAAAGTGATATATTACTTTTATATCCACTAGGTGGCACTTGGAACCATTGATTTTGCCAGAGTATTTGCATCTTAACCTCCAGCAGTATTTTTAGTTTGTAAAATCACATACACGAAGTGTAATATCAAAGTAGCTTCGCATTGTGGTATATTTTATAAAATTGTCATGAAAAGAAAAAGGACAATGATTGTAATAAGTCATCACCAGGTTACTATTTATTAGTCTTTTTTTAAGCTTAAGGTTTAATAAGCATGATATGCAGAATAAAGACAAGATATACCGCAACCACCCCCACAAAGCAATTGCAAGGAATCAAGAGGTGGTTGACAGTGGATCGATTTTTGCGTATCTTTTACAGAAATACCTTGTAGTGTGTTTACAGAAGGCCTTGTAGTGTGTTATCAAAGCCACCTCTTGTTAAAAATGCTCTGCCTTTAAAAAATTGTAAATTAAAATTTAACCCTGTTAAGAATATCATTGCTTATTTTTCTCTCTCAGATTGAAATTTCAGCCCCAGAATTCTCTAGTTATCTTCAAAGTTTCCTCTGGAGGGAAAGCAGAACTGTCATCATCCTGCATAGGGGGTGGGGGCAATTCCTTTGACCCCCAGACCAGTTATCTGTTGAAAAAAGAAAAGAGAGAAACTCTGGAAAAAGGTAATTCACGATCATTCTTCAAAATTACTTTTGTGATTCACAATAATATGCTTAGCTGCCTAGTATGCTTGTTTTGTTCCCTATCCTAAAAAAGAATTACTTGATTAGGTATTTTTGATCCAACTCAATCATTCCCATAGGTTATAATTCGACTAGCAACCATTTACAACTAACTTGGATGTGAACCTGAATTTATTTCTATCACCGCCCATCTGTTAAGAAAGGGGTTTCCATGGCTCAGTACCCTTAGCACAGTGGTTACAGCGCCTGCCACATGCACCAAGGCTGTCAGATTCGAACCCGGCCTGGGGCCCACTAAACAACAATGACAACTGCAACAAAAAATAGCAGGGTGTTATGGTGGGTGCTTGTAGTCCCAGTTACTTGGGAGGCTGAGGCAAGAGAATCGCTTAAGCCCAAAAGTTTGAGGTTACTGTGAGCTGTGCCCTGCAGCACTCTACCCAGAGCAACATAGTGAGATTCTGTCTCAAAAAAAAAAAAAAAAAGAAAGAAAGAAAGAAAGAAAGTAGTTTCCATACTTCTATGTTTATTTTAAGCTCAGAAGGTCTAATTTTTATTAGTATGTGTTCTGTTGCAAAAAAATGTTAAAAACCTGAAAATAGTCTTATGCTATCAAAACAATAAGCATGCTTCAAATACTTGTTTTCTAAGCTTGTTACACTGATTTGAAGAATTCCAAATACTACTGAAGCAAAATTTTTCCAGTATTGTACAAAGTAGTTTGAACACATTATCCTAATTCAGATAACGTATAGTCCAGAAAATCTAGATAAAATTTATTTATTTATTTATTTTTGCGACAGTCTCACTATGTTGCCCTCGGTAGAGTACTGTAGCATCACAGCTCACAGCAACCTTAAACTCTTGGGCTTAAGCAATTACCTCACCTCAGCCTCCCAAGTAGCTGGGACTACAGGCACCTGACACAACGCCTGGCTATTTTTTTTTGTTGTAGTTGTCATTGTTGTTTGGCAGGCCCAGGCCAGGTTCAAATCCACCAGTCCTGATGCATGTGGCAGGCACCCGAACTACTGAGCTATGGGTGCCAAGCCAGATAAAATGTTTTTAATTCTAGCATACTGAGCTTCACATGCTAAATAGAATTATATTTCAGAAGTATGCAGAAGTACCAGTTACTCAGTTACTTAACAAAGGATTACCCCACCCGACCCCCAAAATAAAAGAAATAGCTGTTTCACCTTGAAAATTCCACCAGCCTGTGGTTGCTTCAAAAGACCCTCAGAGTCCATCCCATCCCGGGCAGAGGTCACATACATTTCAGAGTAATCCTTCCCTCCGAAGCAGCATGAAGTTGTTTTATCAACAGGCAACTTCACAGTTTGGAGTCTTTTCCCTAGACCACCAAATATTTTATTTAAAATTTAGTCCTAGCAGTTCCCAACCTATGCAACATATCTAAACCATTCATGGAGGAATATGGAAGCTCTAAGAAGACTGTGGAGATCAGACGTCATCTAGGTACTTAATATTTAACCTAGCTTCCCTGACAATTTATTTTGAGCAAAAAGACTTACCTCCACAGGAAAAGAAGTTCTGACTATAAATTTGGGGCTAAAGGTTGGGCCTTCATTTCTGAGATCATTCAATTGAGACCACTGCATCTGTCTCTAACTTTCTTAGTAATGAGGTTTCCCCGGTCCCTAGTGTCTGGTGTTTTCTAGACATGACAGGGATTTTTCAATTTGCTGTGAGACTAACCTGTCTCCGGATCTAAACGGATCACTCTTCCTCCATTGTAACAGGCCACCCAGAGCTTCCCCTCAGCATCCATGCACATTCCATCTGGGATTTGTTCTTCTTTCTCTAGTTTGTACACACTTCGGCGGTTGGCTATGGTTAAAAAATAAAAATAAAACAACAACAAAATAACAGGCCTGTTAATACTGAGAGTCAAACAATGAGCTCGCAAGCTGATTTATATACTGATCATTTCAGCTTATCTGGTGTCTGGCATGTGAACAAAGGATTTTTACCGCATGGTTTGGGGTGGGTTCACTCCCTTTTGTTTGGGGGACAGACTTATCTCTTTAAGCCTGATTTCAGAGGAGGAGAGAAAAAAGAATATCAGAATTCTCACTACACTACTAATAGTTTTTTTTGAGGCTGACCTGAGCAGTGACCCTGCACAGCCATCTCAAGCACATGTATGCCAATGTGTGGTTAGAACTTTGCTATTTCAGTTACAAAAATGCCTATTTATTAACTTCAAGATCTGGAAGCCAACTTAATGGTCCATGTGAATAGTTCCTCCACAACTAGTAAGATATACGAGTTCTTTTTCTGCCTGACTAACTGCTCCAAAATCAAGACTAAATGTTAGAAGAGCATATTTCTGATAAGGTGCATTCACAAACCAACTTGCTCACCTTAAGGGGGGGGGGGGACCACATTATACAAAAAACAAATATCAAAATCCAGAGGAACTTTATGCTACAAAATTCAAGTAGTAATTAGATTGAGGTATAATGGAAATATGTTGAACCATGTTTGAGGAAAATGGGCAAAAACAGTTCTTACTACATATTTCAAAGCAAAACATCTGTAGTGGGTAGTTTGCCTCTGATCAAATCTGTGTGGAGAATCTTGTGGTTTTTTTCAAGTCATTTTTATTATCGGGTTTGCTCTTTTGGTCTGGCATCTTTCATGAAACAACTTCAAGGACTCCCTTCTAAATTCTTCTAGATAATTCCTTCCTTCCTAGTTTCTAACTATAGCTCATTTAAACACATTGATGGAGTTGGACAACCTGGAATTACCTTTTTTTTTTTTTTGCTTTTCCATTTTGAAAGGTTGGTATTTTGCCTCTGAGAACTTGCCTGTGGTTAACTGAAGTACAAATAAGAAATATCATCCCCAAATTTGATTTTTCTGCTCTTTTATCCCATTCTGTTGTATGTTATTTGCTTTTCAGCACCTTCTGGTACAACAGGAGCCCTTTTACAGTGAGCCCTTTTCTGGTAATGATGGCAAGGAAGAGGACTACAGCTCTAGTCATATTATGCCAACTAGGGCCATATTTAATTATGTTGAGGGCAGTATTTTGACTGTAGCACAGTCCAGTCTGATCGTCCTTACTATATTAGAATAATAACACTGGAAAGCTCTCTTTTTGACAAGGAAGGACCTCTTCACGTGGGCTGAGGGAGAGATGCCTTACCAGTCACACATATATGAAAACAATACCAGCAGCACTGAGAAAAATAATTTAAAAAGTTCGTACCGATCTGTCCTGTCTTCAGGTCATAGTCAAAGGCATCCACAGAGTAGGACAGGCTGTCAATGTAATAGAAGATTTTGTGGTCTAGTGACCAATCCAAGCCATTGGAGATGTCCACCTGGTCAAAGTACTTTTCTACATGATGGTCGGGAAAGAGAGAGTACAGGGATCCTTGGCGCCGCTCAAGAACCGCCGGGGCTGTCTCCTCAGCCATGGTGCCTATGAAACCAAAAATCCCTGAGCTCTGCCCCTAGCCCCACACCCCATGTGCTGTACCATCCTCTCTCACTAGGGTCCTTTCCAGTGTTTCAGTCAAGACAATTACTACACAATCTCAATCTTGGTGCAATATTTTTATACTTTTTTTTTTAGTGTAACAAAGAGAAATTTTATTTATTTATAAGAAAGAGGAAGTTTAGAGCACTTCCAAAGATAGTTGGAAGTGGGTCCCTTTCATGAAGTAGAAAAGGTGAGAGACACCTGGGTCCTATATTTGAATAAAAAGGACAACTACCTTACTTACATTGCAAATCAAAACTGCACTGAGAGGTTTTTAGTTCCAGATAAGAAAGAGTAAACATGTACCAAACTCATTTTCTCCTCCACCCCCCATTCCTCCCCACCCCTGCTCCCACAAGCACAACTAGAAAACCTGGATAACATGTAGGAAGAGCAAATGTCAGCAGGCAGCTCAGGGAACAGCAGCACAATTGGAGGGCCCACCTGACTGGTGGGGAGTTCTTCATTTTTTCTCCAGTATCTCTTGGCGTGAAGCCAATATTACCTGAAGTCTGGAAGTGTGCACCGTGGTGCACACAGATGGATATCCCAAGAAAACCCTCTAGATCTGGCTCAAAGAGCAGAAAAGGAAGTGTCTGAAACTTAGAGAGAGGGGAAGAAATTCCCAGGTTATTTTCCACCACTGAAAAAAATTTTTTTTTATTTTTAACTATGATGGGTATCTGAGAGTTGTATGCATTTAGAAAATGCATATGATGTTTTGAAACAGGCAATACAATGTGAATTAATCAAATCAGGGTAACTGGGGTAACCATTGCCTCAGTCATTTATCATTTCTTTGAGTTAGGAACATTCCAATTCTACTCTTTTTTTTTTTTTGAGACAGAGTCTCACTATGTCTCCCTCAGTAGAGTACTGTACTGTCATAGCTCACAGCGACCTCAAACTCTTGGGCTGAAGCGATTCTCTTGCCTCAGCTTCCCAAGTAGCTGGGACTACAGGAGTCCTCCACAATGCCCAGCTATTTTTTGTTGCAGTTCTCATTGTTGTTTGGCTGGCCTGGGCTGGTTTTGAACCTGTCAGCCTCAGTGTATGTGGCTGGCACTATAACCACTGTGTAATGGGGGCTGAGCCTAATTATTGTTGATTATAATCACTTTTTTATGCTATCAAATATTGTTCATTCAATCTAGCCACATAACTATATTTTTCCCACCTTTCCCCTCATTGTTTCATGCATGATTCCTTGGACAATTCTGCAGCAGGGATAGCAACAGCAGAGAGAATGGCCAGCAACAGGAAACTACAGAAATAAAAATGGTGGAGCCCATCACTGTTGCTTTATATTCTGTGTGTGTGTGTCCTTTTGCTGCTTGGCCCCAGAGGTAGCAAAATCATAGAGACGGGTGGTTTCTGGCTGTACGAATGAAAAGAAGAGCTCCAGGAAACTGGAGAATACTAAGAGATAGTGAAGAGGCCCAGGCATGCAACCCCATAAAACTGTTTATGATCCTTTAGGCTTATCCTGGGCTGGCTCCAGAGGCATTGCTTAGATTCTAATTCACATACCAAAGACATGGGGATGGGAGCAGAGCTAAAGGATAAAACTGTTTCTGGGTCCCAGACAGACCACTGAATAGCAATATGTGGGATAGATCCTAATAGTACCCAATAGAAAGCAGGTTGGAACTTATGGGCTGAAGCTAAACATACACATTGCCTGCTAAGACAACTCTAATTGACATTCTTCAAAGCCTTGAAACAAGACTAGGGTCTCATAACATAATATTCAAAAATGTCTAAGATACAACCTCAAATTATTTGGCACCACAAAGCAGCATGAAAATCTCAACTTGTGGGTGGCGCCTGTGGCTCAAAGGAGTAGGGCCCCAGCCCCATATGCCAGAGGTGGCGGGTTCAAACCCAGCCCTGGCCAAAAACTGTGAAAAAAAATTATCAACATTGGGCAGTGCCTGTGGTCCAAGGAGTAGGGTGCCAGCCCCATATGCCAAAAGTGGTGGGTTCAAACCCAGCCCTGGCCAAAAAAAAAAAAGAAAATCTCAACTTGCATAGGAAAAAATAATCAACAAAGGGTAGCACCTGTGGCTCAGTGGGTAGGGCATCAGCCCCCATATACCGAGGGTGGCAGGTTTAAACCCGGCCCCAGCCAAACTGCAACAAAATAATAGCCGGGCATTGCGGCAGGTGCCTGTAGTCCCAGCTACTTGGGAGGCTGAGGCAAGAGAATTGCCTAAGCCCAGGAGTCGGAGGTTGCTGTGAGCTATGATGAACAGAGTCTCTAAAAAAATAAAATAATAATAATCAACAGATATCAAAAATGAGATGGCACAGATGTTGGAATTATTTGACCAACACCTATATATGTGTGTATGTGTATAAAACTCAAGTAAGCAATTATAAACAGCTGTGAAACAAAACTCGAACTAGAAAATATCAGCAAAGGCTTGATGCTTGTAGCTCAATTAGTAGAGTACTGGCCATATACGCTGAGGCTGGCGGGTTTGAGCCCGGCCCGGGCCTGCTAAAGAACAATGACAACTGCAACCAAAAAAAAATAGCCAGGCCTTGTGGTAGACGCCTGTAGTCCCAGCTACTTGGAGGCTGAGGCAAGAGAATCGCTTCAGCCCAAGAGTTTGAGGTTGCTATGAGCTGTGACAGCATGGCACTCTACCAAGGGCGACATAATGAGATTCTGTCTCCCCCCCCCCAAAAAAGAAAAAGGCTAATGTATCATTGGATTTCTAGAGAAGAAGAAAGAGTTCAGGCTAATTATTTGATGTACATGGTGAAAAATGCCTCAAGTTTGGTGGAAAGCCCAAAACTATAGATTGAATTAGCTGAGAAAATCCCAAACAGGATAAAACCAAAGAAACCCAGGCACATCATAATTGAATTGCTGAAAAAACTAAAGTCAAATAAAAATGCTTGAAAACAATGAAAGAAAAATGGCACATTACATATCAGGGAATAATGATTTCAGGCACAAACACATGCATTACATATTGAAAATGGTCAATTCAGGACAGGGAAGGGGGGGGTTCGTGCTCTCCCACCTAATGGGCACAATGTAAGGGCATATGGCACACTTCCTAAGTGAGGGGCACAACTACAACAGGGACCTGATCTAACAAATGCAAACATTGTAGCCTAATTGTTTGTACCCTCAAATTAATCTGAAATTCAAAAAGAAAAAAAGGAAAATGGTCAGTTCACTAAGAAGACGTGGTAATCCTAAACATGTATGTGTTTAAAAATAGACCTTCAAAATACACAAAGTGGCTTGGCACCTGTGGCTCAAGTGGCTAAGGCACCAGACACATACACCTAAGGTGGCGGGTTCGAATCCAGCCCGGGGCCTGCCAAACAACAATAATGGCTGCAACCAAAAAATAGCTGGGCGTTGTGGTGGGCGCCTGTGGTCCAAGCTACTTGGGAGGCTGAAGCAGGAGACTCGCTTGAGCCCAGGAGTTGGAGGTTGCTGTGAGCTGTGATGCAACAGCACTCTACCCAGGGGGACAGCTTGAGGCTCTGTCTAAAAAAAACCAAAATATACAAAGCAAAAGTTGTCAGAACCGAGAGGAAAAATAGACATTCAATCCCTCTCTTGGTAATAGATACAAGTAGATAGAAAACCAGCAAAGATATAGAAGGACTGAGTACCATCAACCAACTGGATACAATGGACATTTATAGAATACTCCCCTAAACAACATCAGATACACATGCCTGTCAAGTGCATGTGGAATGGTTCAGTCATTGCAATCATTACTCGGTTCTCTCTCAGTCTCCAGGGACAGAGCAGAATTTGAGTATAATGAAGAAACTGGAAAGCTCATCATATCACACCTCATCTGAAAGGACAGTGGGTTAGAGGATGAAAACGGATGCAAAATGGGCAGCCTGAACAGCAAGCAAGACAGGGTAGATCCTTCCTCCCTGGGGAGAAGGCTGGTCACTTAGTTTCATGAATATTCCTGTGCACCATCTACCTCACAGAAGGAGATACCTGGAACATGGATGTGAATCCCCAGTTGCTTGGAAAGGGTTTGTCCTAGTGGGCCAGAATAACCTATAGCACCAGTTTATTCTTCACTATCTAGTAGCAATTACAGACAGGCCAGACCCCAGATACGGTGATACCTTCAGGATACGACCACCTCGAGATTCTATCTAGACTATAAGATGGTGCCACCATTTTCTGGGCCTAGGACATCTCTGAGCACCTGTTGAGAGCCACGATCTGTCTCTATAAAAAGGTTCTCAGGTGCATCTGTCAGATGCATACTGCTGGCAGGTACTCCCACAACGACACCCATAATTTTAAGGGTCTCCTAATAGCTCAGAGCCTCCAGGTTAAAATCTAAAGCCTTGGAGGACATCTTCATTTTTGTTTCACAAAATGCCACTGAACTGTAAATGTCTAGCTATAACAGAGAGAAAATCAGTTTCATCAGGAGGTGAGCATATTTCTTTACCTGCAATTAATAGCCGAAGGGCTTCAAGTGGATTCTCATCTTTAACCTTTCAATCAGTCCTGGACGGTATTTATGGTTGTGTAAAGTCCAGGAAGATGGAGAACAATCTACAGCCAGCTGCTTAGATCTTACCTGCCTTCCACGTTGAACATTAACAGAGCCAAGACACCAAGACCAATAAGAGGAGGAGGCAGTGTGGGGAGACAGGAATGGCAGAGATGGAGAGTAAACTTTGGCTAATTTAGAGGGCTATTATGATGGGAGGGCAATAAGAAATATGCATGAATGCATTACCTAATTTAAAACCGTAGTTAAAATTCTTTTAAAGATGCATATGAGGCTGGGCGCAGTGGCTCATGCCTGTAATCCCAGCATTCTGGGAGGCCAAGGCAGGCGGATTGCCTAAACTCATGAGTTCCAGACCAGCCTGAACAAGAGCGAGATCCCATCTCTAAAAATAGCCGACATTGTGGTGGGTACCTGTAGTCCCAGCTGCTTGGGAGGCTGAGGCAAGAGAGTCGCTTGAGCTCAAGAGTTTGAGGTTGCTGTGAGCTATGAGGCCACGGCACTCTACCGAGGGTGACCAAGTGAGACTCTGTCTCCAAAAAAAAGAAAAGAAAGGAAAGCTGCATATTGTATATAAGTCATTCTGCAACCATCACAGTTAAGGCTGGTTCAAGCAAGAATCATCAATGAATGTAAAACCTAGGGAGAAATTTTGATGAGGACAAGGATATTTGTGTGGATTTAGAGGCTCTCCCCAGGTTGTAGCCAGCCTCCAAGATAGTCCCTAAGGATCTCTGCCTTCCAGTATTCATACCCTTATATAGTTTCCCTCTGTCATTCTCTGTACGACCAATAGTATATAGCAGAAGTGATGGTATGTCACTTCCAAGATTGGTTAACATAAGACCATAGCTTCCCTCTCGATCTCTTTCTCTTGATCACTGGCTCTGGGGGAAGCCATATTCTGAGCAGCCTGATGGAGAGGCCCACGTGTTAAGGAACTGAAGCGTCCTGCCAACCCCTACATGTGTGAGCTTGGATGCAGATCCTCCAGCCCCCTTCAGAGAACCCAGTCTCTTCAGAGCCTGCAACCCTGGATTGACAGCTTAACTACAACCACCTGTGGTGGCCTGAACTCGAACCATCCAGCTAAGCTCCCAGCTAAGCTCCACCCAGATTCTTGACCTTAAGAAACTACGTTGAGATAATAAATATTTGTTATTTTAAGCCACTAAGTTTCAAGGTAATTTGTTAGCCAGCAATATACGACTAATGAACTCTACAAATTGTTTATAAATTACAATGAAAAGTAATTACTATGAGCTAGAGAAATCTGACAGGACCTTAACTGGATGATCGAAATTAGTATCACCAATTCAGGGCAGATGGACTTCATGTGCCTCCAAATGGGATACCTTGAAAAGGACAGAACATGCTGTGATAGTCCAGCCAAGAACATGTAACATTGATCTAATCATAAGGAAACATCAGACAAATATGAAATGAGGAATGTTCTATTTAAAAAGGGGGGGAGGGAATTGGGTGGAACTGTATTTCTCAAAAATGGCAATGTCATAAAAAACAAAGAAAGGCTATAGAAATGTTCCAGATTAAAAAATATTAAAGAACGGTGGCCCCTTTGTCTCAAAGGAGTAGGATGCCGGCCCCATATGCCAGAGGTGGCGGGTTCAAACCCAGTCCCGGTCGAACTGCAACAAAAAAATAGCCAGGCATTGTGGCGTGTGCCTGTAGTCCCAACTACTTGGGAGGCTGAGGCAAGAGAATCGCCTAAAAGCCCAAGAGTTAGAGGTTTCTGTGAGCTGTGATGCCACAGGACTCTACTGAGGGCAATAAAGTAAGACTCTGTCTCTAAAGAAAATAAAAATAAAAATTAAAATTAAAGAGATAGATATGACAATTAAATGCAATACATGGTCCTAGACTGGATCCTGTATTGGAGGGGAAAATGGCAAAAAGACTATTATTTGGACAATAGACAAAACTGGAATATAGATCATACATCAGATAAATTTATTGTATCAATGTTAAACTTCTTTAAGTTGATCACTATAAGTATGGCCATGTGAGAATATGTCATTTTTCTTGGGAGATTCACACTGCCATATTTTAGGGGTAATGGCACAGGATACATACATAACCTATTCTCAAATGATTCTAGAGCAGCGGTTCTCAACCTGTGGGTTACGACCCCTTTGGGGGTTGAATGACCCTTTCACAGGGGTCACCTAAGACCATCCTGCATATCAGATATTTACATTGTGATTCATAACAGTAGCAAAATTAGTTATGAAGTAGCAACAAAAATAATTTTACGGTTGGGGGGTCACCACAACATGAGGAACTGTATTAAAGGGTTGTGACATTAGGAAGGTTGAGAACCACTGTTCTAGAGGTAAATGTGTTTAGATGCATAAGGAGAGCAAAGGATAAAGCAAGTGAAACAAAATGTTCACAGTAGGTGAATCTAGGTAAAGGGTATACAGGTGTTGTTTGTACCATTTTTTTTTTCAGTATTATTTCCAATTTAAACATCAATAATAACAAAAATTCTGTATTTAAAATCCATGTAAATCCCCAAAGTATTATACAGCTTTTAGTCCGTGCTAAAGTCAAGAAATAGAAGGCCTAGCATGGTGGCTCACACCCGTAATCCTAGCACTCTGGGAGGCCAAGCTGGGTGCGTTGCCTGAGCTCAGGAGTTCGAGGCCAGCCTGAGCCAGAGTGAGACCCCCATCTGTAAAACCAGCCAGGTGTTGTGACAGGCATCTGTAGTCCCAGCTACTTGGGAGGCTGAGGCAAGAGAATCACTTAAGCTCAAGAGTTTGAGGTTGCTGTGAACTATGATGACACGGCACTTAACCCAAGAGTGAGTGAGACTCTGTCTCAAAATAAAAAGAAAAGAAAGGGAACATTAAAATTGATACAGCTGTATAGATTTATCCTTAATGTGCTGAATTTGGCCTACCTAGAACTGTAATATAAATTGTGATATTGTGGCTGGACGTGGTGACTCACTCCTGTAATCCTAGCACTCTGGAAGGCTGAGGCAGGTGGATTGCTTGAGCTCAGGAGTTTGAGACCAGCCTGAACAAGAGTGAGACCCTATCTCCACTAAAAATAGAAAAACTGAGGCAAGAGGATTGGTTGAGCCCAGGAGTTTGAGGTTGCTGTGAGCTATGATGATGCCCTGACATTCTAGCCAGGGTGACAAAGCAAGCCTCTGTCTCAAAAAAACACAGGAATATATAGGAAGTTTGCATAGGATTATTTTTTTGTTAGTGATACATGTTACTCAGGCATTTATAAGAGAACCCAAGACCTATTATGAATAATATTTTTACCACCAGAGCTCTGAGCACTTTCTCCAAAGCTCAGCAAGTGGGCGCTAAGGAGAAATCATACCAGCAAAGTATCTCCCGGTGGGATCCACCTTCCCATCATTGAATCGATTGTTTTTCTTATCTTTATCCACTGTGGCCAGGACAACTACTGATTGATTTTCCCAGTTCAAAGCACAGAACTTTGTTCCGATGGTGGCGACATAGCCTCCTGACTGGCGAAGGGCCACAGAGCTGACAGGGGCATCTGTAGAGGCAAAAGCAGTGATTAGAAGCCAGCAGTGATCCGGTGGCCATTGTCAAAAGAGCAGGGTTCCTTCTCTTCCTCCTGTTGCGTAGGGAAGGCTACATGACTGAGTATATTTGTTGAACACGAACTCTTGCATGCTATTCTGGGCACAAGGATAGAAAGAATAAAACCCAATTCTTCTGGAAGCTCCCAGTCTAGTGGGAGAAGCAGAGGAAATCAAACCATAGCAGCCACAACACATGGGGGCAGGTGCCACATCACGTTCAGAGGAGGGATTCCTAATCTAGGAGCACCAGGACAAGTCACAGCGCAAGTGATGCTCAATTTTGCCTGCCATCTAGGAAATTCAGAGACATAAAGTGTGTTTAGTTATAGCAACTAGGTTTTGTGACATCTCTTTTCTCCTCTAATACAGGACTTGTCTTAAGGGGCCTTATTTTATATGTATTTAAATGAAAATTGTTTCCAAATCATTTGGGGCAGTAAGCATGTAAAACTAATAAACAGGGGCCAGGCACGGTGGCTCAGGCCTGTAATCTTAGTACCCTGGGAGGCCAACGCGGGTGGATCACTTGAGCTCAGTAGTTGGAGACCAGCCTGAGCAAGAGCCAGACTCTGTCTCTACTAAAAATAAAAAAGTAGTCATAGGTTGTGACAGGTGCCTGTAGTCCAGCTATGCAGGAGGCTGAGGCAAGAGGATTGCTCAAGTCCAAGAGTTTGAGGTTGCTTGAGCTATGACATCATGGCACTCTAGCATGGGGAAACAGAGTGAGACTCTGTCTCAGAAAAACAAAAAAGAAGGGAGATAACTGTTACCTTTTTGCAGATTAAGGTCTTGGCCTGACCCAAAGCAGATAACAGGTCTATAACTTTCCACCCTGTTCTCTGAAGGTGTTAAGGAAAGACAAAAAGTGTAGTGCCTTAGCATCCAGATAAAACTGAGAATGTTTCCTAGAAGAGGAAGAGGAAAGTACTGACCACCCATAATTTACTCCTGGGTCAAAGTGGGAGGACATGGAATGTGGAGAGCATGACCATCCTCAGCATTTCAGTATGCTTTACTAAAAAGGACCCAGGGAAATAAATGTTGGGTGACTGCCTCTCCTCTGGGAAAAGGACTTACCCACGGTCATTCGCTGCACTTGCTTGGTGAGAGAATTCCATCGGCAAACCTTTCTTGCAGGAATGTCTACGAAAAGCAGAGAATTGGATGCCTCCTCCCAGACCGGAGACTCACCGCACCGGCAGTGCTCTGGCAAAACGCACTCAATCTTAATGGAAGACATTGTCACCAGGGAGATATACTGAAATTAACAGAGATAAAATGAAATGTAATGACACAGAGCAAATTTAGTAAAACACCTGGCTTAAGGCCCTGGTAAGATCTCAATATGGACGATGTGATTAGAACTGGAAAGGCTGGATACACTTTCCCTAAATCAGAACAAGACATGCAACACATCAGGAAGAGACATGGACACAAAAGGTAGGAGAGAACATGTGACATCTTCAATCAACTTACCAGTGACTTTTTTTAAAGCTATCTTTGAAAAAGCAAAATAGCAACACTTTGATCTCTACACCTTGATGCTGGTGACCCTGAGGGCTGGCTGTTGGGACAGTGCAAGGCTGCCCTTTATGCCAGCACCCTAAGGCCCCAAGGCGGGTCAGAAGGCGGGCAGTTCTCCCATTGGTGGCCTCTCTTGGGTGTCTGTAGGTGCCTTCTTCTGCTCTCCCCTCCCCCCATCTGTCAGTGCTGTTTAACTCCCTTCTCTGATGATTTGGAGGCCAGGGCCTTCTGCATTTGCATTTTGTGACCTGCATTTTTATTTTATTATTTATTTATTTTGTTCTCTGTGTGGTCGTTCTTTTGAACTGCATTTGTAGAGCTATGTTCATCAGTGATAATTAGAACTAATATCCATTTCCCAATTCAGCCAATGGAAGAAGTGGAGAAAAAGACATGATCTAGGTGCCCTGTGAGGAACTGAGAGCCCCTCAGCGATTTATTGCTTCCTGGGAAGGCGCTGAGCCAGCTTGGCAAGGACTCTTGAAACTTCACGTGCAAGGAACATTCCTTGCTGGGACTTTAGGTCAGAGACTATGACCAGTGAACTTAGAGAAGAAAAATTATCAGAAAAAGAGAAACACATCAGATAAGAATCCCATGTGGGAAAGGAAAGACAAGCAATGATCAAGATTCTTCTCTCCCTTTCCCAAACTCTGCCCCGAGTAGGCAGGCTTCCAGTAAAGATAAACATTGCTCTCTGTCTTCATCCTTTTGCTGGGGAATCTAATCCAAGCCGCTTGGAAGTAAGTGGTCTCACACATGGTGTGCGAATGAATAGCAGGGGGAAAAAAGAAAAATAATCTTTGGTTTAATATTTCCTTTAAGAGACCAAGTTTAAAAAAAAAACAAAAACCACCCAGCTCAAACCGGTCTCAAATACTGGCTGCTCGCAGACTGGTAGCATTAGGAATGTTCATCCCCTGCGAAAACTGGGCTCAGACTCCAAAGGCTTTCATGCTATCAATCTGAGATAAGGCCCAAGATCAGAAGCGCGACTTTTGCAAGAGCGGCTTTTAACCCCACGTTCCGTGGTGCAAGCTGGGGTTGGGGCAGCAGGGAGAGGGGACCAGGCACCTGGTGTTTCCGCGGCACCTCGGGTACCTGCGCGGGCGAGGGGCCTCCTTGCGATTTGGTAGCGCCGCTGCGGTCTCAGGAGACCGCGACAGCAACCCTGGGAAGCTGAAGGTTGAGCCCGCCTGGTCCCTGTGCCCGGCACGGGGCTCTGCCGAGGGCGCACAGCCAGCGCGGCTGAGCCGGCTGCGGGTTCCGTGTTGGAGACGGCGGTCTCCTCCTGGCAGCCCCTGGTCGCGAGACCCAGCCGAGCAGGGCTCGCTGTGCTGTCCCCTGGGCCTTTCCTCTCCAGGGAGCCGGTGGGGAGGCCGACCTGACTTGGGCACTCACCAGGCTGGGGACTTGTCCCGGGGCTCGAAGGTCAAGCCAGGGAGCACGGGGAGGGGAAGTCCCGCCTCTGAGGCACGCGGTTTGTCAGGTGGATGGCCCGGGCCTGGGACCCGCCGGCACCCCCGCCCACCTCTTCTCCCGGGCTGGGAAAAGCCTGCAAAGCCGCCCCGGGCAGGGGCGGGCCTGGGAGGTCGAGGCTTGGGGCCCAGTGAACCGCAGATTTGGAGTTTGGTCACATATCTAAAGTTTATCTCTTACTTAAACCAAAAATAGTTGTTAAAATACCTAACAGAGATACTGGGATGGGGTTCTGAGACACAAACTGGTTAATAAGGAAAGAACAAAGCGTTAAACAACTCTGTCCTACCCTTGGTGGAGAAGACCTCGATGGCGTGGAGGCCAACTCTTCTTGTAAAACGTTTTTGGTCGAGGAAGAGGAATGGCTTGATTGGATTTGATTTTCAGATCATAGGGAATAAATGATCCTAGGCAACGCTCAGCTTCACTATCCCCACACAGCGCCTGCCACCTGACCATTCAGACTTTCTCTAAATAACTCATAAGATTAAAATATGCTTTTAAGAAGTAAGGGAGGTTCTTCTGGGAAGAGACATCTTAAAAACAAAGAAAGAAAGGAAAAAGAAATAAGGATGAAAAAAGTAAGGGAGGGACGTAAACAGTATAGCACTTGCTCCTCCTGCAGATTGGGGACACGGAGTGACTGCCAAGGGCAGTGAGGGAAATGAGGGCAGCATTTCTGGGGTGATGGAAATGCTCCGTATCCTGTGAGAGCTTTGCGTTGCACAGATGTGTGTGCTGTCAGAAATCATTCAGTGGTCGCCTGAGATTCGTGCATTTTATTGGATGTATTGAATCCAGGGTCTGGAGTACCTCTTTATTTCTATCTCTCAATCTAGTGTCTCATTACTTGCATTCCTAGCTGTCTACAATCCTTTAGGGCTGGACACCTGTGGCTCAAGCGGCTAAGGTGCCAGCCACATACATCTGAACTGGCAGGTTGGAATCCAGCCCAGGCCCACCAGACAACAGTGACGGCTGCAACCAAAAAACAGCAGGGCATTGTGGTGGGCGCCTGTAGTCCCAGCTACTTGGGAGGCAGAGGCAGGAGAATCGCTTGAGCCCAGGAGTTGGAGGTTGCTGTGAGCTATGATGCAATAGCACTCTACCCAGGGCGACAGCTTGGACTCTATCTCAAAACAAAACAAAACAACAAAAAAACCTTTAGTACACTCAAATCGCAATTATTTTGTCATTCTAATACCCTTTTAATACACTAAAGAGGAAGGGCCAAAAATCAATATTCAAATGCACAAGGAAACCCAAGACAAGCAGGAAATGGTTGGAACAACCTCAGTTCAAAGTTTAAGTTTAGGCTCGGCGCCTATAGCTCAACCGGCTAAGGCGCCAGCCACGTACACCTAAGGTGGCGGGTTCAAATCCCCAGCCC